ATTATTATTTAATTACACAAAAAATACAAACGTTAAGTGAAAAACATCTGACGTTACACATCACGCCTCATAACCCCAAAAAGATGTATGTTAGTTTTAAAAAAGAACGAAAAACAAAACATTTGTTGTTTCAAAACTTGATTTTTAATTCAAAAATATTTCTCTAAGTGAATTGTGTATTATAATAATTATACTAAATATTTATTATATTTACTTTTATATAAAAAGAGAAAACAGCTGAACGTTTCCTAGATAATATTGTACATCATTCTTATGCACATATGTAAAGATATAAGTAAACGAACTCAAAACCATGTCATATTTTATGTTTGGAGAAAATACTCTGCTTAAAACATAATAACGATAACAAAGTTTTATTCAAATGACAGTTTGCATGAATGAAAACATAATCGGTCAAACAAACTTAGTTTACTTTTAATTAAATAATGTAAAATTTTGATTATACGCTAATCATTAACCTTTGTTGCAGAGAAATCCACCCCAATTAACGTAACATTTGCATTGCCATGGCTCATTTTCGCAATAACCATGCTTACATCCTGGGTAGGGGGCACACTTGTCGCAAAGCTCGGATTCCCAGCCTGGTCTGCATCTAGTTTTTAAGTAAAAAATAAAAATTAATTAGTTTAATAAATAAAAAGTTGCAAAAAAAGCTTTTGGGTTAAAAATTATGCCGTAAGTCCTCATGAAACGTAAAAAATAACAAGATTAATTCAGGATTTAATTTCAGGTTAGAAAAATTATGGACACTTAATAATAAGCCTAACCTACACGTCAGTTACGTAGGCCTGTAAAGTATGATTTTTAGAGTTTTAAGCTGAACTTAAGTTTAACAAAAAATAATAATAATAAAGGTACTTATGTTTTTAGGTACTTTTTGTCATTGTAATTTCACCTTGCTTTACTGATGCAGTGCATTTTAAAATTCAAAGTAAGTGTGTATGCATTTATATATATAAGTATAATCTTTCCTATGATGTTTACCTATTTTGTCGTGAACAGTCATTGAAAACGCATTCTTTGACCAACACCTCCATCTTAATCTCCGTTCACAGGTTTTACTGAATTGTTACCTTTGTTTTGTACAAAGTTGAAAATATATGCATGTGCTCTATTGTGAAGTTTGACAAAAAAGGAAGCATCAGTGCAAATTAAGAAGTTTCACTTTTGGTAAGCTAACACTTTTCTGTATTATTTTTCTTCCAAATAGATGTTTCCCATTTTACACAAAATAACCATTGACAAATATGTTGGCGTGTATCAACAAACAGGTGTAATAAATAATGTAGCTTTATATTATTAAATGGATAACTTCAGATACTGATTTGGGCTCATTATATGAGTAATTTTTTTTTGTAATTAAGTGTAAAGCTACACAACGGGCTGGTAATGAACCCGATTTTTAGCGTTATAAGCCCTCAGGCTCATCGATAAACTACCGGTGGTGTTGATGGTGTGGGGCACATGGGTAAATTACTATAACTTAACACATCGTAATATTGGTCAGTTACTCTGGAGACACTTGCTGCAACTGTAACCGAAAGCTTGTGAACAAATTAAAACATGGAAATATAAACATTGTT